GGCAAGGCACTCGCTCTCCGCATACCTTGCTAGTTCCAGAGGATCTCTATCAACTCCTCGGAAAAGCTTATCGTTTCGAGCATTCCAAATGTACCATATTAGCCATGGATAAGGGTCTCTGTCTAATTCTGGTTCCGTTATGGTCTTCTTCCTCCAAAATAGGTAGTCCATGTTCGCATATGTGCTCTGCAGAGGGAATAAAGTTGAGTTGGTAGGTATAGATGCTAAAGCCCACACCTGTAGAGCAGGTTGGCATTGAAAGATTGCATGTGCAACTGTTTCTTCCGGTTCTCCGCATTGTGGAAAAAACTGTCACACCTCATGTGTATGTGGTTCAAAGCACTCGTAGCAGCCATATGACCTGTTATAATCTGCCACATAAGATCTTTGGGGGCGCTTTAATCTTCCAGACATGTGCTTAGAGTTTTGTAATACTAGGTTCACCAACAATATTATCATCCTCCTTCATCAGTATATTTCGAGCGACCCAATAGCCAAATTTGACTGTCTACTGTCCACTCCTTGTGTAGCTCCAGCAATACGTGTCTCTTTGATGTATTGAACTAATGGCCATACTCCTTATGAGAGGTATATCAGCAGTATCAACATAATTCACCAACCGATCCAAATCCCAAGACTTTGATTCTTGGTTAATAAGATCACTCACTCTCATGTTTGGATGCAAAACCGGGGCAGATGAGGATGCTGGCCTCGCTGTGATCGTGGGAATCCAAGGGTCCTCCCATACTTTCACTTCATAGCCTGAATGTATTTTCTGTTTAACTCTTAGCAACAATAATTCACGTGCCGCCGATATGCTTGTCCACACATATGATGGGCTACTGACTGTGAGTTTTCGCAAGGGTGAACTCAAACGATAATACCGACCTCTCATAATCCGAGCTACCAAAGAATATGGGTATTGAGCCAATCTCCACAACTGCTTTGCTAACAACGCAAGGTTGAACTCGTGAATCATCCTGAAGCCAATTCCCCGTTCCTCTTTAGATAAGCATAACTTGACCCATGTCGACCAGTGTAAGCCGCTTTTTGGTGGGTTCGAGCTCCACCAGAATTGTGCAATGGCACTAGCCAAGACATCACATATCTTCCAAGAGAGTAGAAAGCAAGACATTACATAGGTTGGGAGAGCTAGCAGGATTGACTTTATCATTACTTCCTTTCCACATTTTAATAACCACCTTCCAGTCCATCCATTACTCTATTCTTAAGCTTGTCCTTTAGGAAAGCAAAAAGCTTACATTTGGAACCACTGATATCTTTTGGAATCCCTAAGTAAGTTCCAATCCCTGCTTCATTTTGGATCCCAAGTGTATCTTTTATTTCTTGTCTGACCTCGTGTCTGATTCTCTTACCAAAGAGTAAAGATGACTTTTTGAAATTAATGCATTGTCCAGAAGCTTGTCCATATTTCCTGACCACTTTCATTACTTCTTCACATTCACGGGGTTCCACCTTACAAAATAAAAGGCTATCATCAGCAAAGAGTACGTGAAATACCGATGGACACGCACGCGTGATACGCATCCCCGTTACCTTCCCCTGATTCTCTGCGTTATTAAGAAGGCTAACAAGCGCTTCCGTGCATAGAATAAAAATGAAAGGGGACAGAGGATCTCCCTGTCGTAAACCTCTCTCCGGGAAAATATTCCCTATTGTCTGTCCATTCATAAGAACCTTATACTTTACTGATGTTACGCATCGCATAATCCAGGTTATCCAGACTTCTGAGAATCCCATCTTTCTCATGGTGGCCTCAATGAAGGACCATTCCATTCGATCATATGTCTTGCTCATTTATGTTTTAATACCCATCCTCTTATTGCGTCCACTCGGTTTTGTTCTTAAGGCATGAAACATCTCCTGAGCTATCATAATATTGTCAGATATCTGTCTTCCGGCAACAAATGCTGACTGGGTTTCTGAGATCCTATCTGGTAAAATTTTTTTAAATCTCTGGCATAAGACCTTAGAGATAATTTTGTAACTAACATTACAGAGACTAATTGGACGTAGTTGGCTCATCTGATTCGGCTTATTTACTTTAGGGATAAGGCAAATGTTAGTATCGTTTAAGCCAGCCGGTACCGTCCCTTAAAATAGGAATTGATTAACCATAAGAGTTAGATCATCCTTTACTATATCCCAAAAGTTCTGGTAGAAAAGTGCTGTCATTCCGTCTGGTCCAGGGGCTTTCTTAGGGTGCATGGCAAAAAGAGCCAGTTTAACCTCCCACTCTGTAATCGGGGCTGTCAGACCCTCATTATCTACTGGCGTAATTGTAGTGGCAACTTCATAAAGTGCATCCTCTATCTCCTCCGGGTTTGATGATTGGAAAATGTGTCTGAAGTAACTTGTAGCAATGGCTACCAGTCCTTCCTCATCCTCCAAAACATTTCCATCGGCATCCAGTAGTTGGGTTATCATGTTCCTCGCTCTTCTCTGCTTGGTGAGAGCGTGGAAAAATTTAGTATTTCTATCTCTTTCTCTTAACCAGAATACCCTACACTTCTGTTTCCAGAACATCTCCTCTGCCTTAAGAGCGCCAAACAGTTCTTTTAAAGCTTCCGCAATCTCCTCTGTAGTGGCATCATCGTTTGAAGATAACCGGTCCAGCTTTTCCTTCAACTCCTCCACAGTTTTCTGAATTCAGATTGTGTTGCCTTTTCCAATCACATAAGACTCGCCTGCAGCTTGCAATATGCTCCATAATACTTGCATCCGGTGGGAGATCTGGTGATTTCCATCCTTCAAGTATAATTTGTCTGAGTTCCTCGTTTTGAAGCCATCCCTTATCAAATTTGAATTTTTTTGATCTTCTAGGCTTCTTTTTAAGAATATCAACTAAGATCGGACGATGGTATGATCCCCAGAGCCTCATATACTGTACTTTGGAATGGGGGAACTTCTCATGCCAGTTTTCATTGCCAACAACCCTATCTAGACGACATTTAACAGTAGTACTCCATGCTCTTCTTCCTACCCAGGAAAGCATATTCCCAGTAAAAGAAAAATCTAGCATATCACAGTCACTAAGCATTTGTTTAAAAGGCAAGAATGAACTGTCTGTGCATTGTCTGCCTCCTTTTTCTCTTCATGACAGGTAATTTCATTAAAGTTCCCTATCATAAACCAAGATCCATTTCTTGTTGTTGAGAAACACGTAAGGCGACCATCTTCTTCATTATCATCAGCTAGAGTGCTCCCAAACAATATCAGCTAAGTCAATTGTAACCAATAAATGAAACGGTCAATCTAATTATAGAAAAATGTTTCAAAACATTTTTCTATAATGGCATTTTTGTTGCCATAATGCCATTCATGTAAACGTAAATTGAGTTTTTTTTTTACTAACCGAGTATCCTGACTTTATCGAAGTGATCTAAACTAGAGACCGAAGTAAACAAGAACACTGCCAAGATATCACCATGTGGTTCACCTATAACGATTTTCAATCTCGGGTGTTGGAAAGTCTTTTACCATCGGAGCTAAACGTAAACTGAGTTATGTCCCTCGAATTATATAAACAAAGGAACATGAGTCTAACACCTAAAATGCTTTATACACATAGAAGCAATATAATGTTATGAACATACGTATTCAACCATAAAACACTGGAATTTTCTTTAAAAGTTATTATGGTAATCAAATTATAACTTGGGTGTTCTTGTAACAAGTCCCAGTACTAAAAACTAAAATAGATCGGTGAAATGATCCACTGTTTTCAACTTTAAAGCTTCGGTGAGATGATTAATAAACTAATGAAAATTGATGCGGTTATATCAATGAATATGTTTAGTTGTGAGTTGTGATTAGTTTAATGGTCAGTCAAGTGAGCAATGAGAAGTTGTCTCTTTCCATGTGAAATCCAATGACGTGAAACGACTGTCGTCCGATTTCCCCTCGTAATCTACAACGTTTTGGAAGGTTAATCCTACGGTCGATACAGCAACAAGATATTGCCAAATCTCCTTAACAACAACTAGTTTATTTTCTTTTGTCTTTTCCTTTTACAATATTTAATTAAAAAAAAATATTTGCACCTGTCTGGACACACAAAACATCTTATTAAGCTCCATACTATATTTTTCTCTTCTCTTTATTTCCTCCCATCATTGTTTTTTTCTCCCTAAAATATGACAAATCCTTAAATATCTTCTTTTTTGGTATATTGAACTAAATCACTCTTAAAAAAAAAAGATGAAAACGAAAATATAAATATTCTTACCTTTTGACAAAAAAAAAATTGTATTGTAAGATCTTAACCTCACAACATTGATTAATCCGAATTCTTAGCTCATATTTTTTGTTTTTTATTTTACAATTTTTTGATAAAAATCAGTTTCTTATATCTTTTATCTAAGAAACTATTTTTAACATTTTTATTTAAACGTTAAGAAATGGTTTTTAACCAAAACTAAAAACCTATCGTAAAAATTCAGATTAATCATGGTCTCACTTCCCACCTCACTGATAGTCGAGTCCAAGAAAACGTTACTTTTTTAGTTTGAAAGAATAACATTATTGAAATAGCCACACCAGTTGAAGTCCATACTTATATAAGTTATGAACTTGTAATACTTTAGAATCTAGATATTTTTGGACACGCAATTCACATTACGTATCGACAGCCCGTCCGATTCATTCGTTACAGTCTTATATAGCAAATATCAAAGCTCGCCTGCCTCTCAGGATCCTTTTACTATGTAATCAGAAGTTTTCTAATATTGATCAAATATTTTGAGAATCTTTTGAGATTTCTTTGCGCGTAATGCGAAAATTTGAAAAAGCATTCACATGTTTCTTCCTTCTGACACATACGAAGCAATATAAATTATTTACATTCTTAAAAAAAATATTTGAGTACTAAATTGCATCATTATTTAAAATACTAAAAAATATCTGTTTGACCAAATAATTTCTATATATACATTTCAGACTCTCCATGTTGCTTATCACCTTCACAGCTTTCTCTCTCTAAAGATTTAAAAGGCTTTTCTCACTCTTTCTTTAGAATACGATGGCTGAAACAACTCCATTCAAGCGCCACCGAGAAGAAGAAACCCTAGCCGAAGAAGAAACCACTAAGCGACAGAAGCCATCTTATTCCTCTTACAACGACCAGATTCTCTGTCTCCTCGAAGATTCAGACGAACTTAAACAACCCAACAATGACATAAGTTCCTTTATAAACGCTCTCCAGCAAGAAATCTCATCAGCAGATGACCAAAACGCCGCTTTTTCTGGAGTTTCCAACGTTGAAGATTCGTCGATTTCGTGCGTTTCTTCGAAGGAAGATGATGTCGATGATGAGAACAATGAGAAAGTGATGCAGCATCTTCTGGAAGCTTCAGACGACGAACTCGGGATCCCTAACACCGGTTTTGGCGAGAGTAAATATGACATGAATAAGAATGATATTAATCAAGAATATGTATATGGAAATAGTTTGTTGGATGGGTTCGGTGATGCGTTTTGGGAGCTTGAAGATGAAGCTGCTAATTATTATACGTTGCTGCAATCTGAGTTGTTCTCATAGAAAGCCTAATTGGTATATCATCTAGAAGAAAAAGCCAATTATAAGAAAAGTGGGTCGTTTTTTTATATGAAATTTCATTTCATTTTTAAGGCACACTTCTTTTATTTTGGCGGAGCGAAATATCATATTAATTGTTGATTAATTTGTAGTGGGACAAGTGATAATGATATAATTTTTCTCTCTTTATTTTTTTTTTATTTTTTTTTTTTACTTTTCTGCTGTTCGCTGCGTCGAGAGATCATCGTAATGTACTACTACCCATGTGTTTTAGTATAAATTTCTTATGAATACTAGAAAGTTGCATACCGATGGAAGTACAAAAAAAAATATAAAAATTAGCTATAAAATAACGTATATAAAAAACAAGAAAAAACTATAAATAAACAAAAAACTTGATTGAAGAGCCTAAATCGTTTATCGTGAAAACTAATCAAAGCAAAACAAAAAAAGAGGTTCCACGTTGCCCAAACTAACTTACCATTGGTTTTTGTATTTTTAATATATTTCTTGTGTAAGAGAAAGTGGCATATTTATGGAAGTACGTTGTTGTATAATTTAAGTAACGAATAAACTTGATTAAAGCGCCTTACCCGTTTCTCGTGAAAATCAATCAAAACGAAAAAAAAGAGGTTTTCACCTTGCCGAAATTAATTTCAAAGTACAACGTATTTTGGCTGTTTTTTTTAATATTGAGTAACAGTTACATCATATAATTTAAATCTATTATAAATGATGATCAACTATCTATAATATATGTAATTTAATGAATAACTAGGTGACCCATCCGCACCCTGTGCGGGTATAAAAATATAGTATAATGCTGAGATATGAGTATCTATTGAGTTCAAATGTGGGAGTTAGTAGAACAAGTGAGAGTTTCAATGCTGAGATAAGATTTGAGCAAATCTCTAGGATGTAGTAGGGGTGGGCAAATCGTTACTTTTTCGGTTTGGTTTGTTTAGTTCGGTTTTAATATATTTTTTTCAACTGAAATAAACGTTATTTAGTCTGGTTCGGTGTGGTTTATGTCCAGTTCAAGTTATATTTAGTTCGATTTGTTTTTGGATCGGTTTAATTAGTCTCTTTGTCGCTTAATTTTTTAAAAGAAAAATTATGTTTTAAAATATATACACATAAAGTATGTGAACTAAATTCAATATTAAACTGAAACAAAAACTAAAAAAGTCACAAAAAGTATATAAGAATAAAACAAATGAAAGTTAACTAAAGTAAAAAAATTTAACATCATTAGTATGTTTTTAATAAAAGTTAACTATTAAAAAAACAAATGTAAGAAAAATATACAGGAGACAGTGACATACTAAAAAATGTGATATAAATCTCATAGATATCACAATCCCATAGAAAATGTGATAAAAGTTTAAATATAATTCATAAGTAATATAAAATAAGAAGAACAATTATGAATAAAAAAAATCCCATAGAAACCTGCAAAAAATTGTCAATTTTTTTAGCAATTGTACAATATAAAATAATTAATAGATTTCTAAATTTTATCGAGACGAAAATAATATTGAATTTGCATATCGCTATTGAAACAAACTGAAAAATGGTTTGTAATCAACTACAAACGGTCTTTCATCTGTGTTATTTATCTGTTAATAGAAAAACAAACAAATATATATATATATATATATATAGTAAATTACATTTTTAAGATCCATATTTATACATATATATAATTAAGATAATAGTTTTGACTTTTTTAAATCTCAAATCACCATTATATTTGTGGTTTTCTAAATGGATAATAGTTTTGGGCTTTTCTAACTCAAATCACTATTATCTTATAAATTTGTGCAAGTAATTGATAGCGAAATAAGGTAATCATCATATTTCCGAATTAAGTAATTAGGAAATAAAGAACATACACATTTAATGCAATATCACATGTATATAGTTACTAATAAATGACATCATAAAAGAACAAGAGATTTACTTAATAGACATATATTTTCACAAAATTTAACTTTTAAATTTGTCAATTAAATGTATATTTAAAAAAATAATTCCTAGAAAGATTATTTCGTTTAGAATTATATATAATAAAAAATTCAGAATATATCAAATTTAAAGAATAATTATGAATTAATAATCATATTTTATCATTAAGTCTTATGGTTCCTGAAATAATTTTTATAAAAATTCTTGTAAAGACATTTCTTGAGATATATAAAGTCTTATGGTTCTTGTAATATTTGTTTCCTTTTATATAAACATGAAGCAATTAAAGAAAGATATTAAAAATTAACTGTCAAAAATTTGCAGTAATTAACATACCATTTAAGACAAGTAACTGATGGCAAAATAAGGTAATCATCGTATCAACTTG